TTTTTGGCTTAGCGAGGCTTCACTGGTAACTAATTGCAAAACAGCAGCAATAAGAACAATTACAGGAGCGAAATATATTCTAGAGCTGCATAATCACCCCTTTAAAGATCAAGCATAAAAAGTGCAATCGGTCAATTCCATAGACAATGACCATTGAATGTAATAAGTTTCATTTAAGATGGGGAACTTTCTGAAGCTCTATATGCAAAGAGACACGAACCAAAAGAGAACAGGAGAGCAACAATCTCAAATTGTCTCTGTTTTCTTGATAAAGACCAAGAGGTTTGGGAGGAGAACCATCTTTCCTAATGGGTTTACCGCAAAAAATCCAAGGAGAAGTAACAATAAACATACTGGCTTAAATGCAGTTGCTAGACACAGCAAAAGTAGACCCATGGAATCAGAAGGATTTACATAAGGCTTGACTTTCTCTTTGGTAAGAGGTTCTATCAGTCTGCTCCTGTTGGCGATCACAGTTGGATTGAGGCTATCTGGTAAAGCTATCGTTAATCCTTTTATTTTATACAATGGGACTGTGATATCCATGGGGGATTGGTGTAAGTATTGAACACTCTGCAATTGCATGGTTTCTGGCTCCCTGTAGTGGTAACTTCTCATAAATACATACTGGAAATACATATGCATTTTTAATTTATTTTTTTCAGCCAGCAGATAAGTGAATCAGTGCAAACTGATCTGGGGTGGGGGGAGGAGTACTGTAGTACTCTTTAATTAATTAAAAAAGCTGGGTATACCTTTTAACAATGCTAAAGTCCTCTTGGATCCTCCAGTTGTGCTGGGAAGTGGTTGTGAGTCATTCTAGAACTTTTGGTTACAGGTTTGAATAGGTCACCCTATGATTAGCATCCAACCATGGGAAGATATTTGTTACTGGTTATGCTGGAAGGCACTGGGTTTTCCCAGTACCACCTCTCCAAGTGTTGTTGGAATTGCTTCTGAGAATTTCACACCCAATACAATGGCCATTCCTTTTTGCCACATCTCTGGATGCACAGAATGAAAAGCAGCATCCTTTTTCCACCCTGATGGGATAAACAGAGGCCCATGCTGCACCCACCGGACCTGCAGAAAATACAATGTCTGCATCAGAGCGAATCTGAGCAACTTGGTCTGTAAAACGCCATCCCCTCTTGCATTTCTTCTCTGCCCTTTCCCACCAATGGCACTTCTCCCTACTTTTACTCAAAACAAAAATGTCCAGAAATGTCCCATCCACTGCTTTTTTATCCATGTGGACTAGGAACTTGGATTTCTTTTTACATGAACACTGAGCCTGGAGGTCCTAATTGTAGCAGTAACCAGGAGTGGCACTCCTCCCTCCTTTTACTCATCCAAAGGGGGCCGAGGGGTGTTAGGAGAATGACAGCCATGCTCTCAGGAAATATCATCCCATGACGACCACCTTCCAAATACATGGAACCCTCATGGCTCATGTGAACAGATCCAGGGCTGAGAAAATAAGAGAAAAGCAGAACAAAAATATCAAGAAACGTTCCGTGTTTTGACCTGCTTTAATCCTGTGAACCCTTCCGTTGTGTGGACAGAATGGAGGCAGAACCAGGATGATGGGCGCAAGGAAAGTTCAGATAATGCTCAGCAGGAAGGGGCTCTGAGAACTGAGACCCCCACTCAGACTGGCTTTCATTCCATCGTTGCATTGTTAGGAATATTGGTCTTTAGCAATCTCCAAATGGCAGACATTCCCCACACAGACACCAATATTCAGTTTCCAAAAACCGTTTCCAGCCTGAAAGACTAAGAAGAGTTATGTCTCACCCACCCCAAAAACTGGGCATGGAGGTGACTCTACCTGGACTCTAAGGGAGCTTCAGCTTTACGAGCCCTGATCCTGCTTACCCCAGGCCTCATTGCTGGTTGTGAAAGGGCCTCCAGAACCATTTGAGTTTCAGGGCCTGAAACATGTGTCTCCATCACTCCCTTTACACCCATGTGGGCTAGAAACTTTTGTTTTCAAATGAATGCTGAAGTGAAGCATTCTGTACCAAATACTAGTCTGGGCACTCGTGTGGTCCTTAAGTGTGAGGAACCCCAAGGAAGGCAACTCAGGATAAATAAAAGCCTCTGTTTTCTGGCACTTTATTTCTCCACAGGAAATATTGTGGCCCCTTAGTTCGCCCTGGGAGGCGAACTTTCCTTCTTCTGGGAAGCGATCCCTCCTTCGCGCCCGACCGGAGGAGCCCTTGGGGTTCCCTCAGAGGCAGCCGGCCCCCACCAGGCTTCCCACATGGGCACCACCAGGCTCCCCCCC